TGATTTGGTTCAAGGTATTCAGGAGTTAATTGATGATATATTATTTCAGGATGGTCATAACTTGTAAAATTTAGTGCATGACATTTTTTTTTTCACTTTGACCGAGTTAAAATTTCAAACAAAAATTTTACCCAAGCCCATATAAATGCACCAAATCCGTACTTTTTCATTCTTCTCGTAAATGAATATCATACGTTTTTTCCAAAAGAAAAACTTAGAAGTCAAGCAACTGTATTTGAATTGTCTGTAATTTGTAGTAAGAGCGTGTGGTGAGTAGTACAACAATGCAACATGTTGCTTCGAAAGGAAATCGAGAAACTTTTAGTTTGTGTTTTGTTTTTAATTTCTTCGAGCAAAAGAAACATCCACTGTCATCATCCTCCTTTGGCTCCTCCAAATATTCTTAAACCAGTGGATTGTCAGTCTATTTATATAAAAAGTCCTCCAAATTCCCCATTTCTTTTTTATAAATTAGATTTAAATTTAAATATACTTATAAGACAGGAAGTGGGATAGCCACGAAACATAGAATAGCAAAAGAGAGAAATAGAGAGGATGAGCACCACATCCTCCTCTGTTTTTTTCATTACATATATTCCAATCCCACTCCTTAGATCTTAGCTTTCATCTTTTTTCTCATCTGGGTCCTCCTCAAATGGTAAAATTTCTCAGCTTTTTATTTTATTTTTTTCTTTTGGTTGATCTTGCTATTTGAATTGTTGGGTCTCTCTGATTTTCTGATCCACAATTCTGCTCAATTTTTTTATTTGTTGGGTTTTTTTGTTTGTTTAGGAAATCCGCTTTGTTGTTCTGATTGGTTCATGAAGATCGGAGGTTCCAAGATTGGATTTGACGTTTCCTAATTGTTGTTTCAGTCAGAGCACTATCTGGGTTCTGTCTGAATTTTGGACAAGGTAATGTCTTGTGCTTATCCACATTTTGATCTCTTTGTTTCTATTTTTCGATTGAATATCGGAGTCTTTTCGGATTTATTAATGTAATCCCGATGAAAAGTTTGCCTTTAACTATTGAATTATGAAGTTTCTTTGGCAGATTTTCAATTCAGATTGAATTGCATATATTCCTAAGTGTGTTTTTTCAGTTGAATTGAATTGGGTTGTTGGATTTGTGATGTTTTGTTGCAGAAAAAAGATGGAACCAGATCATGGGAAGCTCTTCATTGGTGGGATTTCCTGGGACACAGATGAGGAACGGCTCAAGGAATATTTCAGGAAGTATGGAGAGGTGGTGGAGGCTGTGATCATGAGGGATCGTGTAACTGGTCGTGCTCGTGGTTTCGGGTTTGTTGTCTTTGCGGATCCTGCTGTTGCAGAAAGAGTAGTTATGGATAAGCACATGATCGATTGCCGCACAGTGAGTAAAGCATCTAATCGATCTTTATGTCAATTCTGCTATAGATTTTTAGTTGCAGTGCTGCAATATATCCTATAGACTTGTATTTTTAGAAGGGATCATATTCTCATAGACTTAGTTATTTTGAGTTTGCAACACGCAAATTTAGGATGGCACCAATAGTTTTGTAAAGTTTGTTGTTTCCAATTTTAGGTGGAAGCAAAGAAGGCTGTTCCTAAGGAGGATCAGCACATTTTAAACAGAACTGGGGTTGTCAATGGTTCCTCCAGTCCTGGAAGCAAAAAAAAGATTTTTGTTGGAGGTTTAGCGTCCACAGTCACCGAGAGTGACTTTAAGAAGTACTTTGATCAATTTGGCACAGTCACTGATGTTGTAGTAATGTATGATCACAACACACAAAGGCCAAGAGGCTTCGGATTTATTACGTATGACTCGGAGGAGGCTGTTGACAGAGTTCTGCATAAAACATTTCATGAACTCAATGGTAAGATGGTTGAGGTCAAGAGGGCAGTCCCTAAAGGGCTATCCCCAGGGCCCAGCCGGAGCCCTATGATAGGACACAACTATAGTCCAGGGAGGACCAATAGTTTCCTCAACAGCTATGCTCAAAGTTATAATATGAGCCCGATTGGAGGTTTTGGCATCAGTATGGACACCAGGTTCAGTCCAATCTCTAGCGGTCGTAGCGGGTTGTCTCCATTTGGCCCTTCTGGATATGGATTAGGTATGAATCTGGAGCCGGGGTTGAGACCAACGTATGGTGGTAATTCCAACTTTGGCAGTAGTCTAGGATATGCACGACTGTTGAGCCCCTTCTATAATGGCAATTCAAACAGGTATAATACCCCTATTGGATATAATGTGGGTAATGGGAGGAGCAGTCCTGTATTAAACACAACTACTCGGAATGTCTGGGGAAATAATGGCATCAACAATAACTCGAACCCTGCCAGTATCGGGGCTTACTTGAACTCTTCAAATGGAGGTTTTGAAGTTGCGATTGGAAATAATGGCTCAAATTGGGGCGCTAATTCTTTTACAACTGAAAGTAGAGGCATTGCTTCGGGCTATAATAGTGCTAATGGTTATGGAAGTGGAAGTAGCAGCTCTGGATTGGGAGGGGGAGGATATGGAAGAAACGGTGACACTTGTGTAGCCCCAACATCATCATTTCATGGATCAACTGTTGGTTATGAGGGGTCTTATGGGGACTTGTACCAGAACGGTTCAGTTTATGGCGACTCAACTTGGCGCTCTAGCAGTCCTGATCTAGATGGTTCTAGCACATTTGGTTATGGGCTGGGCGATTTACCTGCAGACGTCACAGCCAAAAGTTCTGGTGGCTATATTGGAGGTTACAATGTTACCAGTAGACAACCAAATAGAGGTAACTATCTCCTTAAAACTGAATTAAGAGAACAGATTAATTCCAAATGAACAACTCTTTTCTGGAATATGAAAGATTTGACTGCATACCATGGCTCAGTTATTTTTATTCTTGATTTGAAGCTATATCTTTCTCGATTGCGAATAATTCATATGAAAGTTATGCATGTTTAAACACAACATAGAAAAACTACCACCCCCTTTTCTACAATCATACTAATAACATTGATTCCACGACATACTTTATGTTCACATTCATGTATGTAAGAGATAACATTCCAGCAGCCCAACCTAAATTGTTGAAAGTTGACGTGGATGGTGTTAATCGACTTTTCATTAACTAGAAGTCATGCACGTTGAAGTTAACTAAATTATATGTCACAGATATAAAGAATTTCGAATGCTTCTCTTTTTACTTGTCAAATTAGTTATATGCTGACAGAGTGACAGTTAAATGTTATTTCATCGAATTCACTTTATTTTTTTCTGCTCTTTTTTGCTGGATAAATATGTACTTCAGGAATTGCTGCTTAGGTGATTTGTTTGGTATGAAGAGGTGAAGCGAAACCAGTCAAGCATTGAAGGATTGTGAATATTATGTCTCCCTTATTAAGATTTTCAGCTTGTAAGGAAACTGATCATATAGTTCTAACGAGGTTCCTTGATTTGGAAGTATACATATTCAGAGAGAAAGCAGTTACATGGAAATTTGTGCCAAGGTTTGGGATTTGCTTTTTTTCCTCGAAAATTTAGGTTCCTTTCTTAAAATTCGATTGAGGTGTAGTATCAGATCGCGGGATATATACTCAGGAAGACGGTTTCATTAATGCACCTTCCATCTCCAGTGGGATGAGCCAGCGTTAGTCTGTCGAGAGAGATAGAGCAATTGATTTTTTAACTTTCGTGTTTTTTTCTTCCCATTTCATTTCGTTTCTGTAAGCCTGGCAAAGTTGCTGGTGGTTATATTTCTTCTGGGATTTGGTTTTTCTCTCAGATTGTATGTGAGGTTTCTGATTTACTCGTGTGAAACAATAGGACTCCCAACTGGTGAAACCCCCATCAATAAGTTAACATTTAGATTCATTGTTTTTAAGTTCATTGTTTTCTTATCTTTCTTCCCATGCTATTTTCTGCTTCTTCTACATTATGTGGAAAATGTAAATAGTTTATTGAGTACATTTGCACTCATGTGGCATTGAAACAAGTTCATTGTCACGTGGCATTTTGGTTCAACAATGCATTCTCATGTGTGAGTTTTCCTTCACATGATAACGCATTATTGAGCTGTGATGCTATGTTGACGGTTAATTCATTTCATGAAAATTGCTCTCGCCCTGATGATCATAATTCAAACTAAACGGTAGAGTCCCAATGATTGGAAATCCCATGTGGAGATTTTTATCTGTCCCCCAACACTCAACTGTCATTTTCTTGTGCTTTATAGGATTCCCTTGTTCTTTTCAATGGGAAAAGAAGGAAAAGGAGCATTGCTCAGTGCTCACAGCTCAAAATGTCAATAAAGTGTACTACTCCATTTGTTTTTACCCTAAAAACCTGTCTTTTTCCTCTGTTGAAGCGGCCAGTGATCAGCCTAGACTTTTCACACTGAAGTGTATAAACTGATGATTGGGGTTAGCCTAGTGGTGAAGTCGGTAAGATAATGCGTACGACTAAGTTAGGTTCAGAGTTCGAAATCATCTAATGTAACAAAAAATAATTGTATAAACTGTTTTGATCAACATATCAGTGGAGCGTAGTGCATCGATCTTGCGGTGTATACAAACACATGTTATGTGGTTTAGAAGACTCGTGTTACGTTTAGTGTCTAGGATCAAATTATATGGATTAGTCATGAAAGAAATGTATCGCTTCCAAATCCCACAAAATGGTAGGACTGGAAGGGACATAATGTGGTGCCTAGTTTCCTTCGTGACTAAATCACCTTCTAACTTCAACTTGGACAAAATTTGGAAGTTAGTTTGCATTTCTACGGACCTAATAAGTTATCCAATCAAGTCCAATCATATACACCAGACTTGACCTCCGCAGATGGAAAAGAAGCATACCGCTACGGTGGCATCCCGTGCCAATGAAATAAAGTGAGTGCAAAACAAGGAGAGAAATGTTCATATTGTTCCTTTTGAAACAATGTGGCTTAAAGGCTACATACCTTGAGATGGAAGTTGAGAATATGAACCATAAAAAGGCAAAAGCTGGACTTTTACACCGAAAGAATACGCGGTTTGCCAATTAATTAACTACAAATTCTTATTATTTTACCGACCAATTTATCAAAAGTGTCACTGATATGATCTTGATCCTGATATTATCATCACAATTTCACAAAACAAATCTTTGGACCTTTTGTTTCGTTTAGCAATGGCAACAAGCCAGAACAATCTCAAGGATCTCCAATGGCTTCTGGATGCCATCAAATCCGAAAGCCTCAGCCTCCACAACATCTCCTTCTACCTCTCTCAACCCTCTTCCTTCGGCTTCCAGGAAACCGAAAACTCCGTCAACATCAACGTTTCGAACGACAGCCTCTCTTTCTTCTCCCACTTCCTCACAGCTTTAGCAACATCCAAAACCAACCAACTTCTGATGAACTTGGAGTTTCACCAGGTTCAGTGGGACGTGCAGCAGCTTCGCCATCTTTCGGCGTTGCTTGAGAGTAGTTCGAGCATCAAGCAAGTGGGGTTTCGGAGAAACAGATTTGACAAACAATGCTTGGCAGAGTTGTGTGAGATCGTGAAGAGGAATAGAGTGATCAAAGAGATTATGTTTTCGGAATCAGGTATCGGGTTTGCTGGAGCCGGGTTTCTTGCTTCTGCGCTTAAGGTCAATGAGAGCTTGGAGGAGTTGCAGATATGGGAAGACTCTATTGGGTCGAAAGGCGCAGAGGAGCTCTCGAAGATGATTGAAGTGAACTCAACACTGAAGGTGTTGACAATATTTGACTCGAATTCGATCACTGCAACTCCACTTATTTCTGCAGTTTTAGCAAGGAATAGGTCTATGGAAGTCCATGTTTGGAGTGGAGAAAACGGAGAGAGAAGCTCGAAGGTGGTTGAGTTTCTACCCGAAAACAGCACGCTTAGGATTTACAGGCTCGACCTTTCGGGCGCTTGCAGGGTTGCCTGTGCTCTCGGGTGGAACTCAACGGTTAAGTCCCTCGACCTTACTGGAGTGCGGTTGAAATCAAGGTGGGCTAAGGAGTTTCGGTGGGTTTTGGAACAGAACCAGACCCTCAAAGAGGTAAACTTGTCTAAAACTTGGCTGAAAGATAAGGGGGTTGTGTATGTAGCAGCTGGACTCTTCAAGAACCAGAGCTTGGAGTGCTTGTGTTTAGATGGGAACGCGTTTGGAGGTATCGGAGTTGAGCATTTACTCTGCCCTTTGAGCAGGTTCTCTGCCTTGCAATATCAAGCAAACATTACTTTAAAATCGGTAACACTTGGAGGTGGAAGAACCAAGATTGGAAGGGAGGGGCTTGCAGCAATTTTACAGATGCTGACAACTAATGAAAGTTTGACGCGGTTAGGGATATACGATGATGAGAGTTTAAGGCCCGATGATTTTGTTAAACTCTTCAAAAGCTTGGAGAAGAATGCCAGCTTGAGACACTTGTCGTTACAGGGCTGCAAAGGCGTTCAAGGAGAGCAGGTTCTGCAGGCAATCATGGAGACACTGCAGGTAAATCCTTGGCTTGAAAATATTGATCTTGCAAGAACGCCGCTGCAGAATTCAGGAAAGACGGATGGGGTCTATCAAAGACTCGGGCAGAATGGGAAGCCTGAACCGGAAATGGATTTGCTTAAAGACATGCCACTTACAGTACCAAAAAGTTGTAGAGTGTTCTTCTGTGGGCAAGAATATGCAGGTAATTGTGAAAGTTAAAAGTTTATCAACTATTTTATAAAGTTGTATTCGCTCAAGTGTATTTTATCTCATAAAAAATTTCGGGTTTCGATTTCAGGTAAGACTACATTGTGCAATTCCATATTGCAGAGTGTCTCCTCTTCAAAGGTTCCGTATGTGGACCAAGTACGATCTTTAGTGAACCCGGTTGAGCAAGCTGTTCGAGCAGTTGGAATGAAGATTAAGACTTTCAAAGATGATGACAGCACAAAGATTTCAATATGGAATCTTGCTGGTCAGCATGAATTCTATTCTCTCCATGATCTCATGTTCCCGGGGCATGGCAGTGCGTCATTCTTTGTCATCGTATCCAGTTTATTCAGGAAAACGAACAACAGAGAACCGAAAAACTCAATGGAGATAGAAGAGGACCTCCAGTACTGGCTCAGGTTCATAGTCTCAAACTCTAGAAGAGCAGTGCAGCAATGCATGCTACCAAATGTCACGGTTGTACTCACGCACTATGACAAAATCAATCAACCGTCACAAAACTTACAGGTTGCAGTGAACTCGATTCAAAAATTGCGAGACAAGTTCCAGGGATTTGTTGACTTCTATCCAACAGTGTTCACAATTGATGCAAGATCATCGGCATCAGTGAGTAAGCTCACTCATCACCTTCTAAAGACAAGCAAGACAGTTCTCCAAAGAGTCCCAAGAATCTATCAGCTCTGCAATGACCTGACACAAATATTATCAGATTGGAGATCAGAGAACTACAACAAGCCAGCGATGCAGTGGAAGGAGTTCAACGAGCTATGCCAAGTTAAGGTTCCATCATTAAGAGTCCGATCAAGACATGATAACAAAGAGAAGGTGGAAATGAGGAGGCGGGTTGTTGCTACTTGCCTTCACCACATAGGAGAGGTAATTTATTTTGATGAGCTCGGGTTTCTGATCTTAGATTGTGAGTGGTTCTGCGGCGAGGTGCTTGGCCAACTAATAAGACTAGATTTAAGAAGTCGAAGCTCAAATGAGAACAATGGATTCATCAGCAAGAAAGATTTGGAGAAGATTCTAAGAGGAAGCTTGCAGAGTCCAATTCCTGGAGTGGGTACGAAGGTATTTGAGAACTTGGATGCAACTGATCTTGTGAGAATGATGCTTAAACTGGAACTATGTTACGAACAAGACCCTTCAGATCGTAATTCTTTGCTGTTGATCCCCTCCATTCTTGAAGAAGGAAGAGGAAAGCCACAACGATGGCAGTTAAGCAGACCGGAGTCCCTTTATGCTGGGAGGCATCTTGAATGCGATGATTCCAGCCACATGTTCCTCACACCCGGCTTCTTTCCTCGATTACAGGCAAGAATTTCCCTAATCCTTGTTTTAACTTGCTCTTCGATTCTTGTTTAGTTTTGTCTTCAAACTATTTTAGATTTATGAGTCACGTTACTCAATAAAAACCAGTACCAGTTAATGTTCCTTGTGACTAGCGATTCCACGGTTACAATGTGCTGAACATTCATCAAGTTACCCTTGGTTGTATCTGTTCTTATCAAACTTTGTATGCTTGTGAACCCAGGTGCATCTGCATAACAGAATCATGGCCTTGAAAAACCAACATGGAGCGACTTACAGCCTTGAGAAGTACCTGATCTCGATAACTATCAATGGAATCTATATCAGAGTAGAACTGGGAGGACAGCTGGGTTACTACGTCGATATTCTTGCATGCTCCACCAAGAACCTGACAGAAACCCTGAGGGTTATCCAGCAGCTTATAATTCCAGCAATTCATAGCCTCTGTAACGGTATCACCTTGACTGAAAATGTCATACGGCCAGAATGCGTGCAAAATCTCACTCCTCCAAGATACAGGAAGACGCAATTTGCGCCCTTGCAACAATTAAAACAGGCATTACTTTCTGTTCCTGCAGACAGCATGTATGATTACCAGCATACCTGGGATCCAATCTCGGACTCCGGAAGACAAATTCTAGGACCTGGTTTTGATCTGGCCCGAGACCTCCTATCAGATGATGACTTCCGTGAAGTGCTCCATCGGAGATATCATGACCTATACAACCTTGCTCAGGAACTGCAGATACCACCTGAGAGCGACCCAGAGAACACATTATCCACAAGTGACGAGCCTGACAAAGTTGATCCAACCTTCGGTGGAATTGCCAAGGGGGTTGAAGCGGTTTTGCAGAGGCTGAAGATCATTGAGCAAGAAATCAGAGACTTGAAGCAAGAGATCCAAGGGCTGAGATATTACGAGCACAGACTCCTTGCGGAGCTTCATCGCAAAGTGAATTACCTTGTGACATACAATGTCCAAATTGAAGAGAGGAAAGTGCCGAATATGTTCTACTTTGTTAGAACAGAAAACTACTCGAGGAGATTGATCACCAACATGGTTCCTGGCATGAATGCTATTCGACTGCACATGTTATGTGAATTTCGACGAGAAATGCATGTTGTTGAAGATCAAATGGGGTGTGAACTGATGCAGGTTGACAACAGGACCGTGAAGTCTTTGGCACCGTACACCACAAAGTTCATGAAACTGCTTACATTTGCTCTCAAGATAGGAGCACATCTAGCCGCTGGCATGGGAGAAATGATACCAGATTTGAGCAGGGAAGTCGCTCACCTGGCTGACTCTTCCCTCCTTTATGGAGCCGCAGGGGCAGTTGCATGCTGGCGCAGTGGGAGCTGCAGCAATTGGGCAGGGAAGGAACAGAAGTAGGGCTGCAGAAAGCTCAAGAGACATCCAGCAAGATCAAAGAACAGCACAACAATGGGTTCTGGATTTCCTAAGGGACCGGAAATGCTCAACCGGAAAGGATATTGCCGAGAAGTTTGGTTTGTGGAGAGTGCGGTACAGAGACGACGGTCAGATTGCATGGATCTGCAGGAGGCATATTAACCTCAGAGCACATGAAATAATTGAAGTGCCACTTTGAGATTATGCATCTAAATTTCCCTTGATGTTGTAATGCATATTTTTCGATATTATGCATCTAAATTTCCCTTTATTTGCAGCATTTGCTTCTGCTGCTAAGTTTATATGCCAGAATTTCGATATAAGCTCACAGTAAAAATCGCTCGAAGCATCATCGTGAAGGATAAGAAACTCAGGACGGGACCCAACTATTATTGCACCTGATATTGACGATTGATAACCGCGAGGGATTTTTTCTATACTTTGATTTTTGAAATATTTCTCACTAACATTAGCAGTTGTCAGAGAGATTACACTAATTACGTAATTGAATTCTACTTTACCTTCGCTATCATAATTAGAGCCTATGATTTCACCTAAATTTCAAAGGGCACAAAAACTTCAACTTGTAAAGGAGATGGAATGACTTAATGGAAGATTAACCAAATTGTATTCTTTTGGCCACCTTTCAAAATTTTGAGCTTAATCACACAGCATAACTCATGTTTATAAACATGATTAACACGTAGTTAGACGGAATTCGATATCACAATAATTAAGGTAAAATTAAAAGTAGATACAAAGAGGAAAGATGTAACAGAAGTTACTAATACAAGGTTGGTGATAGAACAAAAGCTTGTAACCGGTACGTCAAGATTCTCGTGTCATCTAAAGCAACTCAACATACAAAGGGAAACAACACAATACATAGAGCATTATTATACATAAGTACGAGGAATCTAAAATCTAGAGTCACCTGTTTTTTTTCCCTCCGAACAAGTGAAACGGAAGATCAGAAGAACGCCCTACTACCGTAAAACACACGGGAACCACTGCTCTTTGGTGTCTCTATTTTCTGATCAGTGCTCGAGTTTCCTGAACTGGTTGGTGATTCAAGGTCCAAAGGAAGCTTCATTTTCGCCAACGATTCAGTGAATTGCTGCATGCTTTTCATGTACATGTCTACAAAATCCTGCTGCACCGCCGTATGCTCTGGAACGGTGACTGTGACAGTAGGCTTCTCAAATGTATCACTCGGCACCGCATCAGACGAATTAATCTCACCATCTTTATCCACTTTCTTCTCTTCCGAAGCTGAAACTTGTTCTTGATTTGGAGATTTCAAAGCTGATGGAGCATCATATGACTCTGAGCTTGTATGACCCGACGCAGATGATACACCATTAGTTGACACACTGCTTGGGGGAGAATCAAGCTTCCGAACATGAGCAGACTCAATAGTAGCAGTCGACAAGCTTTCTACAGCATGAACACCCACTTTGTAACTAGGCTGAGTTTCAGTGTCAGCCGTGACAAAGCTGTCAGAGCTTTGAGACTCAAACTCAGAAGATGGGATCTTAATGTACTCTGAAACCATCCTCTGGTCTTCATTGTCAATGTTCGGATCTGGGAACTCTAACCTATCTAATTCACATGACTCAGCTATCTCCGAGTCCTGCACAATAGGATTTGAGGCCAGGGACATTACTTCTGGCAGATCTCCAGTGTATGAGAGGGACAACTGGACAAACCCTGATGGGGAATGAAACAGATCATTTGAAGAAAGAGAGAACTCTTTCTCTAACTTCCCATTCTTAACGAGGACCCCTGACAAAGGCACCAAAGAAAACCCCAGCAACTGATCTTCAAGATAATTCTTGACCCTGCTCAGCATCCAAATCTCGCATTTGAGGGAGGAATCAACAGTCCGAACATTGAGCTGGACATTGTCATTGAAGACTGGATTTCTACCACCACCATTAATGGTCTTGGTGGAGACTGTTTTTTCAGGATCACTCGTCAGGCATAGCTTAGCATAGACATCTTGCTTGTGGTATATGCAGATGTTCTGGATGTCCCTAGCCTGATGAACGTAAACCTCGAGAACACCAATGAAGTTCTCTGAGTTACTATCTATATTGGCATCAGTTCCATTGGATACAGGCCCATTGGTACAAATGAACTGCTTCTCAGGCTCGGCAACAGAGCTTTTGAATGGAGACACAACAGATTGAGGAGAATCCATGCTAATAAACACCTAGGAAGTTAACCTGGCAAAGCACAACAAAGATCTTCTGAGAAAACTCGAGTCGCTCCAAAATTAAAGGTCTAAAATTGGAAAGTACCACCTAGTTAATTCCAAAGACTCAGCTCAGATATTTAGCATTTAGCTAAACTGAACAATTTTATACTAAAAACATATAAAGCCAATTCGAAATAGATCACCTTACGGAATACATTAGAAATTCGTACAGTTCTAGTTAATCCAAGGCGTCATTACAGCATAAATTAGAAACTCATAATGTTTTAGTCAAAATTCAAGGCGTCAGTTGAATACAAATTGTAACGTTCTATGATGCTTAAAACGAGACCCCCAAATATAACTAAATCCTAGCATGTCCAGCAACAAACACCAATTCTCAAAAATATAGAATTTCGAAGCCAAACATTCATCGAAGGAACTTTCATAAGGACCGCTCAATCCCTAAACCTCCCCAAACCAAAATAAGCAACACAAGAAACTGAGAGTACACAAACCTGTAACTTCAGCAAAATATAAAATTAAACAAATATTTCTTGTAATTCGAACATCAAAACACACACGAACAAGCTCAAAACCCAGAAACCCTTACCTTGAAATCCGTCACTTAAGCCAAAAACAGGCAAAACCCAGAAGCCAAAACCCCCCAAAAAAGCACTTTTCCGGTAAGCTCCTCCAAAACCCACAACCCAAAACATAAAAACAAGCAAGCCCAATAATGCAAGGTGTAAAACTAAACAAAAATTTCTTGTAATTCAAAGAACAAAAACCACTTGAACAAAGCTCAAAATCCAGAAAATCTTAACCTTGAAATCCGTCACATAAACCAAAACAAGCCAGAAACCCCAGAAAAGCACTTTTCCAGTAAGCTCCTCCAAACTTAATAAGAAGCAAACCCTTTCACACTAATGCAAAGATATTTGCACAGTCCAATAAAGCTACCTACTTTTCTACACAGATAGATTATATTCTACCAACGAATCCAAGGAGCAAAACAGGGAAAGGTAAGCACAGCAACCAAGATCGTGCCAAAGAATTCCAAAAACAAAATTCGACCTTTGAAGCCTCAAAAAAGTCACATAAAAGCGTTCAAAAAAAAAAAAAAGAAGTCACATAAAACGAACCAAAAAAATGACAAAGAGTTCCCAAAAGAGCAACAATAAAATAAAGAAAAATCTGAGATGGGTTTGCTCTTTTTTCCCATCACCTTTGGCTCTTTAGCTCCAAAGTCAAAGCGATTTGCTTGAAAATTTGAAATATGTGGCTCCAATTGAAGATCCGTCCAAGACCCAAAGACAATCAGTTCATCAATCGAGATTATACTGTTGCTGCTGCTGCTATAGAACCAAACTTTCTGAAGGACAAAGAAGGAATATTGGTAAGGATAATAATCTAGAGAAATTCGGGTGTGGGTTGAAGCTTGTTGGAAAGCTTATGAAGTTTTGTATTCCATGAGCATATATAACAACATAAATACAGTCTTCTCATTTGAGAGTTCACATTTTACCTTTTCGGCTCTCATTTTCCTTTTGTAATGATAAATGAGAAAATAAACAAGTCCGATTATTGTACAGTATATTAGCATGAGAAATGAAACCAACAAAGTAGTATGACAAAATCCAACTAATGAGAGATTCTTCTATGTTTTCAGAACATAAGTCGGTCTAGCATGTATCATAATTTCCTTTTAGTCTCATTTTGTAATGTTAAACTAAAAAGTAAACAATTTTGAAATGTTATAGTATAAAAAATAAAATCAACAAGATAGAACAGGAAAATCCAACTAAGGAGAAATTTTTCATATACTAAGAACATAAGTGAATATACCATGTGTAATAACATAAGTGAACAAATGATATATTTTTTTAGTTTGACTTCATATATATTGTTAATACGTTATGTGCTACTTTATGTTTTGTGAAGGTAGGTAGTATTTCAAATATAATATCCCTTGGGTATTATTTTCCTTTTAAGGTATTTTTGCCATTGGGCACTACAGTGAGGGATTTTAATGTTGTTTTTTTATGATTCAGAGGGATGGGGTATGCAGAAACACCGTCCCACGCGTTGGGGAAAGGCAGACCAATCAGAGAAGAGATGAGTGCGCGCTTATTGGTGTTCCTGCGTCATTGCCGACGCTTTCCACTTCTGTTTTGTTTTGCTCCTCCACTCACTTCCAAGCTGAAAATGATACATAACTATCAGTCTATGAATTTTTTTGTTAAAAAATTCTCCTGTGGTATTGAGGAGCTGTGTTGCATCAGATCCCGAAGATGTGAGTATTTTCCTTTTGACGAAGGAAGGTCTTCTACAAATATTTTATATTTATTTATATATGAAATCGAGATAGTTATTTTTTAGAAAATTGGAATAATTGTAAAAATGTTTATGCTTTAGTTTTTTGAAGGTGGGAGTAAAGCTAAAACTGATTATTAAGAAAAAATTTAGTTTTAAATTTACGTAATTAATCTTTTTCTTTTGGTTAACTCAAGAAACTGGAGATTTATCTCTAAAAAAATCTCATTCAATTAGACGGAGAAATTTACAGTGTTCCGCAGAATAAGAAATTTCGTACTTTTTAAATGTTAGATTTTAATTTCTTCACAATCTCTTACCTAGGCTACTCAAAACAACCTAAACCCAAAATAGTACCACTAAAACAATTTGAGTCAAGTCACTTTATATTACGGTCTAGTGGTATTTCTTTTCACTTATAAGTGAGACGTCTTAGGTTTGATTCTTGCCAAAGACGAAGTTGAACCACATTATTGCTAGCCCGTTATAAAGCAAAGCCCACATCTTCTCCTTAGTATTGATAATATCATATGTTACAAAAAAAAAAAAACAAATTGAATCAACGACGCCATCAACTCAATCATACTATTTAAGAAACAATCATATATTAATGGGTGGATCTTGAGGTCGGTCACCAATGATCCAACTTTATAAGCAAGGTGAAAAAACTTAGAGAAAATTATAAAGATTCAGTAGGGGTTTTGGGAAAATGATTGGATTGAAAAAATGACATTACAAAAATAATGGTGGCTTTGTTGTAAAGGTTGTGGGAATGAACGGCCACATGATTTAGCTAAAAGTGAGGATGACTTGAGAATAGTAGTGTAATTGTTGTTGAATGATGTTTTTCAAAAAGGCAATCATTTCCTTTTTTTGGGTTCTCCACGGATGTGGCTCTGTATAAAGAGCACTCTGTGTGTGATCACAACACACATCAAATAAAAGAAGTGAAAGCAATAATATCAATATCTCTCCCTTCCTCTCTTTACCTGCAATCATTTTGTGTTATAGTTATGAAACTAAACAGTGTGATACATTGCACACGCTTCGCTCCTGCCCCTAGTAAAGGTTATCTCTCTAACTTTTGTATGTCTATAACACATTATCTCGTTCAAAAAAAATATCACACTTATCAACACGACTTTCTAACCCTAACTAGTTCTCATTTCCCTTTGCTTTTGAAAAATTCTTCCTTCAAGGATCTTACTGTTCTTCTTCCTCCTCTACCTCACCTGCTTGATGTACCTTGCCAAGATCTGCTAGCACTACGCCTTATCGTAATTCTCAATATAACAATTACATATATTTTTGCTTTCTTGTTTTGTGTAGCTCTTGATGACTAACTCAGTGTTTATTTATTTTAATTTTACTACGATCAAAGACGGTGCGGTACAATCGCCCATCTTCAACTGCAGATTTAATTTTACTGCAATTTTAGGCAGTGCGGTATAATCGCCCACCTTGCTCTACATATTTAAATTTTTCTGCTGCTTGAGTGGTGCGATATAATCGCTCATCCTACGCTATATTGTTTCAATGAGAGTGGTTCGGTACAATCGACTTCCTCATTAATTATGTAAATATCGAGCCTAAAGTTTTGAGTGCTTATCATTTTGGTCTAAAGATCAAAATGAAAAATTTGTAAGAACCAAAAGTTCTAACACTACATTCCTCCATAATACATATTATTGCAAGTTCTTACATATCTCATGAGGATCCAATGGTGATTTTCCCAATGGCTCGTTATGAGTGGACACACATGAGGATCTAAGATTTCAAGTCGGTTGATGAGTACAACTCTGCAATGTTCATAATTAGCTCCCAGATGAAGCTTGGTGGGGAAACCATCACTGAGAAAGATATGCTGGAAAAGACTTTCAACACATTTCATGCCTCCAACGTGCTCCTGCAGCAGCAGTATAGAGAGCGAGGCTTTACTAAGTACAGCCAACTGATATCGGTGCTCCTTGTGGCTGAACAAAACAATGAGCTCTTGATGAAAAATCATTAATCCCGACCAAGGATTAAAATATCGGCCGTGCAAATAATATCGGGCCTCCAATTTATTGATATTTCGGGGGATATATCATTATCGTTTTAGGTATCGGGAAAAAATCAACAAAAATGACAGATATAGGCATTGAAACACATAATTTTGGTCTGAAACTTTCATAGATGTCATGTACATTATCAATGAATGTATTGAACAAATAAAACTCAAAATTTACTAATAATAAGATATACATATGATGAAATATAAGTGGTATGTAATGCATGTTAACGAAAAGTTTTCTAATAAAATGTTTATTAGAATGAATAAACCATGCATAAATCCATAGTTTGTTTAAACATTAGATTACAATTTAGATAAGTGTCCAACTACATAAATGAAGAGCTCCTATGAGGTTCAAACAATGAGGAACAACCATCTAGATTCATACAATAGTCATACCAAGTCATGTAACCCGACCAGTTTGTAAGCCATGTTTGAACATGGTGCATATATGTCGCTCTTGAGCTCCCTACTGTCCTCGCCTACATGGGATAGTTAGGATTAACCCAACTAGTAGGTCCATAGTCTGTTTCATCATCTTGAGCTCCATAACTAGTTTCACTATAATCAGACATGACATACCCATAACCATCATAAGATTCATTTGAGTTAGTACTATCCTATGCTCATAGATCCAAAATTGATCGCCATGTCATCTTTAGATGGATTGATTGGTTGGCTTCTTTTCCCTGAGTATTGCTTCCCAATTGTGCCAATGCCTGGTTCAGCTTCTTTGCATCCATGATCCTCATCTTAGGTGGCATAAGTAAAATCAGCCTCGATAGTAAATGGGCTTTATTGTCTTCCTTCTTCATTACCTCTGATCCAGCATTACTTCCTTCATCATTATCTAATGAATTGGATGAACTTTCCTTTCTACTAGTACTGACATCATCTCTCAATGGACGTCTTTGACCTTGCCGAATGCCAAGCATATCCCTTTTAAATGATGAAGTATTTCTACTCCTAACATCTTCGGATATGACTCTATCAACATCAACTCCTTCTTGGGCAGCATGTTATGCTATAACGACATCAGGGTTGCCTTGTTCATCATCCAAGTGAGTTGTCATAATCCATTGTTGAATTGGATTATTATCATCATTAGATGGTTTCCCTGCAATGTCAAGAAGGTCTAAGTAGTCATTTTCTGCAACCTTGTTCATTTCGGCCTCTTCATCACGTAGCTTAAGTTTCATATTATAATAGCAAAAGGCAATCTTTTCCTGCCTAGTATATGCGACACGGTTCCTTTGTTTCGTGTGAATAAGAGTAAATGTACTCCAATTTCGCTCACATGCCAATGATGATGCTGTCTGTGACAATATACGCATAGCAATTTTTTGCAAGTTCGGGGCAGAATCACCATGAAGATTCCACCATTCTGCTGGGGGGATCGATTTTCTTGATTTGACGGCCATCTCGGTGTGAAATGTCTTTCTATAGTCTCTAAAATTTATCACTTGGATTCACAATGTTTTGTGTTCAGTATGCATAAAACTAAACTTAATAAGGAAGACATTGTTTTGTGTTCACTTCCCTCGGCCCCAAATGCTTGCAAACCTCTATCCCCAGTTGGATTCAACCTTTCAAATACGAGTTGGAGTTCTGAAAGTAACTCTTTATTGTGGCCAACCCTTGTTTCATATTGATATCTAGGGTTCAAGTAGTGGGCTACAAATATGAAGATTAGTTAATGCCCGTTGTATAAATTTAAAAATTGATGCACATTTTTACTAAGAGATTAA